ATTTTGGTGTTGGTAAGTGAAATCTGTTTACTAGTTTTCAGAATGCTGGAAAAATACCAAAAAAATTATTCAAAAATTTATTACAGTTGTGTTTATATTTTCAGATAAATGTGATATATAATAATAGTATTTATAATGGCTGTGATTGCTCCTACTTCTACTGACAAAACTAATATGGTTAATGGATTTAGTGATTTTGATGTAGAAGAATTACTTTTTAAAGTTTTAGTTATTGGAGATTTTGGTGTTGGTAAGTGAAATCTGTTTACTAGTTTTTATTTATTTATTTTTTTTTAATAAAATTTTAAATTGCTTTTCATTTTATTGAAATCTTATTTTAAAAATTTATTAGATGCTTTTTCACATTAATGAAAACTATTCAAATAAACATACTTTATAAAATATCTAATTACTTTTAACTATTTTTTAGAAAAGTAGAAATGATTTAAACCAGTGTTTTAAAATTTATGCTGATAAACAGATGTATGCTGTACTTAGTACAAACTACTTTACATTAGATATTCTAAAGTTTGCTCAAAAAGATCTAAAAACATTTTACAAACAAAATTAAATATTTGGTATCTTTAACAAACAAAATTCATAGATATATTTAAATATCGTGCCAAGTTTTACTGATTATAATAAAGTTTTTATTTATTAAAAAATCAAAATTTAAATTTACTTACTCCTTTTTTTTAAAAACATGATTTTACAAATTCTTAAAAATAAACTTCTTTAGGAGCTTATCTGCAAGTTTGCAAAATCAAGTTTATAAATAAAAGCAGGAGTAAATAAATTTAATTTTGATAATCTTTAAAAATTTAAAATATGTTTTCATAATGAGTCAAAACTATAGTTGATCATAACTTACTTATATTACTGAATTGTTTGAAATATTAATTAAGAGGCAAATGGTGACTGATGGTTTAAAACACTCGTTGCTTAATACTTCATACTTATCAGATCAGATTAAATCAGATGGCAGAAAGTTGAATCACTTCCCCACACATTGGCAGCATAATCATTACCCAACAGTTATCTTTTTCTATTCTTTAATAGTTTAGTAATATATTATAGATCTGTCTTATATCCTAGTTCTATAAAGGATTAAAGATTAATTGATGAAAAAATAACTTTATCGTTTTTGAGGAAGTGAGATATTTTAATAAGGATTCTTTTCATAGTATTGGTGATAACTAATCAATTATTAACAAGATTGATGATGATTATATGCTTTAACTATGTTTGCATCAAAACAAAATAATTACAATACACTCATATCACTATTTTCATGTTTGTTCTAACATTTTAAGATAAGTTTGGTTTTATATTGTTAATTGACAATTTTTTATAGGTTAAAAAATTATACAGAAGAAAAAGTTAAAGAAATAATTTCAATTTACATTAAATAACATAATTAAATTATAGAAAAAATATTAATGATGCTTTAAATATTGAAGATCACTTTCTTCAGTTTTCTAGAAAATTGTTATATAGTATTTTGGCAAAGACCCTGTCCATAGATTCATAATTCCTGTTCTCAGTCTTGATATTTCCAATTAGGCATTCTTATGATATAAATAAAACTAAGTTTTTAATCATATTAAATTATATATTTCTCTTTCCTGTTGTAAATTATCATAGCCTTCTGTTATCTCATCAAAATTTGAAACTTCATAAACTTTTGCCTGAATAACTCAATTTATAATGAAGAGGGATGTAGTGTAACTATGACTTTAAAAAAATTTTCAATTAGTATGAGAACTTGATGATTTCACATATATTAAATGTAATTGCTATACTTAATAATTATCCATCAAATTTGATCTGACTCTGATAATTAATAATCTATTAAAAATGACACAACCTTATTATTTTGAAGAATGAGTAAAAGTTTGTTTATTTTTCAGTACTGTAATTTCATTTTTATTTTGCTTATTTACTGTTATAGAGATTTTTTTTTTACAAATTAAAGACAAAGTCGCTCTAAAAATATATATTTCAGACGATTACCATTTTTACAATGTTCTAGAACAAAGTACAGACAGCTGGACCTTCCTTTTTAGGCTACACAACTGCCTATATTTATAAAGTTCCTTAAAAACACAAAAAAACCAATAAATATTAAGAAAATTCTTCTTTAAAATTGGAATGGTAAATCTTACGTCNAAAAAAATTCTTCTTTAAAATTGGAATGGTAAATCTTACGTCATCTTGTTAGTTCATCCTTGTCCATTTGGGTTTCTGGCTCCTTTTATCTACTGTTATAGAGATATTAAAAATTTTTTCTTGTTAAATATTTTTAGAGTTTTCTTGAATTTTGAAACTAATAATTGTTTTTATCATTACTGTATAAAATTTAAGTTAGAGGATATTCAAATAGGTATAGCAGTCTTGATAAAACTTATTTGCTTATGTTTTCAATTAAGATGAAAGTCATTGACTAGCTAATTACAAAACTAATAAAAATTAAAACACATTTTATTAAAACAGTAGTTTGATTTGCTTTAATGTCCATTACTGTATTTTAAAAATGTTAAATTGCAATACTTGCATGTTAAATCGTATAGTTTTTAATATTTTAAAATTACATAATCAAGTTGTTTAAAGTAAAAAAATGTAATTTTTTTATAAATATGATGATAGTCTATAGTAAGTAAATATTTTGTTTTGATATATTTGTTTCATAAAGGAAAAACAGCAATTATAAGAAGATATACAGAAGGTAAGAAAATTTTAATTATAATTTTCATATTCTGTTACATTTTAATGTATCTTAAAAGAAGGAAAAATATCTTGTAAAAAAGTACAAGTTTTATATTTCTTTTAAAACTGTAGAGATGCTAAAAATAGTGTCAATTTTTTTAATAAATTAAATTAATTTGAATATTACAATTTTATAAGTTTCAGTATATATACTTTATTTTATTATTTTTATAATTTATTCAAATCACATGTTTTAGGTGTATTCTCTCATTATTACAAACTTACAATAGGAGTTGATTTTGCTATCAAAACAATCTTATGGAACAATAAGAAATCAATCACTTTGCAGCTTTGGTAGGTGTCTGTATAATTAAATAAATGTCTTAGACTTTATAATTTATAAAATATACCCAAGTAAACAAATTTAAAATTTAATGGATAATATAATAAATAATTGTAAATGTTATATATTACTATTTACTTTTTAATGAATATTGTTTTTATTATGATTTTTGCTAATGTTGATAGAGATTTGTTTAAAAATATATTTTTTAAACAAATTAGGGATATAGCTGGTCATGAAAGATTTGGACACATGACTCAAGTATATTATAGATATGCGTAAGTATAAAATTAATAAAATTGATAATTTAATTACACAAATTAATATCTCTTGTAAATAAAAAAAAAAAAATATGCAGATTTAGTGCATTGACATGTCTGCACAAGGAGAGATGTCTGGAATGGTTTGGTTTAACATTAGAAAAGTGAGTTATATCCCAAATAAAAAGAAAGGGATATTGGATAACATGTACAGATAAAAGACTACCTTATTTAGGAACAATCAATTCATATATTTCCAATTATTTTATGCACTATTCTTATAATTTCTATTTATAATCTGTGATAAGTGTTTCATTATCTTCTTATTCTTCAATAATTGAAGAAATATAAACTTGTAATTTTTATATTACTATAACTTTTGGTATTTATAATTAAATTTATTTAGAACATATTGTGTATCTATAATAGTATAAGTAAATAATTTACTTAAAAAACTAAATTTGTTAAAATTTCCAATGAAGCATATATTGAATCTTTAGTTTTTATTCTACAATTTTTTAATTCTGGTATATTTTTAATAATTATCAAATTTTTATAAAATCTCTTATGCCTAGTAACTAAGATCTAAATACTGTAGTGTGTATAACTGTAGAAATATGTTTAGTCCAATTATATGTATGAAAATGTTTATGAATAGTTTCTGATATTTTTATAATCCAAATTTTAACATTATGATAAATTGTAACTTAACTATATATGCAAGAATTAATA